AGAAGTGTTCATTAGCTTTTTTTTTTTTTATTTCAGCATATTATGCTGAAATAAACAGATGTTTAGGTTACGTATGTTGCCCCCCTTGCCTCCCCCCCTTGTTCATTAACTTTTAAATACTATTTTCTGTTCCAGCAACATTCTTCTTTTCTAGTGTAAATACTAGTAAAGATGCTAACACTCCATAATTTAAGCCTTTTGCAAAGCAAACCTGGTTATTTAAAAAGAAAAAGGAATGTGAAATATTCAAGCTACCCTTAATTTTAACCAAAAATAAATCAGAATTTTTCTTCCTTTAATTACCAATCTTAAGTGCTGGTGCCTTGACACCTCCAAAGTTGATGAGTGATTTTTTATTTTTAATGATTCATTTTTTTAAATATATTTGTGTATTAATGTATTTTAGTCATTTTTTTAATGTTCAAATTATCCTATCTTTGGCCAGTGGGAACCCCTTCATATTGGCTCTTATGTTGTCTGTCACACCCTATTAGTCTTTGATAGCTCCTTTTTTTCAGGCATAATAAGGCAACCCAGGCTGATGTTATATAATTCTTGTCCCAGACCTGGAATGCTTATTTTAGAGGGGAATGATACTTATGTATCGTAATCAGATAGCTGACAAATGGGGAATTTGGAAATTGCCCCATGATATCAGTAATATATAAAAACTATCAGCTTTATGATTAAAACCCTGAACTAGAAATCTTCATTTCTTAGTTTAATACCATAGAGCATATATGTAAAGTGCCAATGGTTACACCCTAGTCATATAGCCATAAAACACACTCTGTAACTATGTCTGTTCTTGTAAAATTCACTAATAGTGTCAAAAATCTTTGGTTTTATAGCTTAAGAGTTCTCAGAGATCATTTAGAACAGTGTGTCCTCTTGTTTTTTAAAGAGGAAACTGTGAGTACCAGGAAAGTGATGTGATGATTATAGAGGCAGAGTGTCCATTCCCTGGTCCCAGCCCAGGTTTGTGGCTGCCTGATGATTTGGAAAACAAGGATGATCATTATTGTCTCAGTAGAAGCATTTTAAACCCACAAGGGATAGTATAAATCTGCAGATTTTGACCACTGATTGGTTAGATTACCTCAAATTTTTGTTTTGTATTATGTGATCCAGGTATATTTCCAGGAAATTTTTCCTCTTTAAAAATTATATACTGAGTTGTTTCATCCATATTATACCAAATCTACTCTGTATTTTGAAGTATTGTCTTTTTGTAAGTTTCTAGTCCATTATTACAGGTGCATCTCTGTCATGTCTTTGTCGTCCCAAAGTAGAAGTTTTTTATATCATTTTGTGCCTTTTTTAAAATAAGAAAATTATGTTCCCAGATTTCTTACAGTCTGTAGGCACAGAGTGGTAGATCATCCAGCCTCCCTTTCTTCATTGTTTGGAATAGTGTTGTTAGCTTAAAAATCAATCCCTTTTATAAAAGCACCTTACCAGCTCTTGAAACCTTCCCTGTTCTTCCTCACAGTCCACAAGTACCCTTTGGCAT